TAGTATAGATTTCTTAATTTCATGCGAAAGAAGTCTCAAGCAACAGATAGTATGCTATATCATCCCCTTTGAATAAACAATCGTGTAATCTTTTACAAGTAAGTTTAGTAAGTTTTAAATAAATAGTATAGTATATAAGAATGATTGAAATGATTTCCGCCCTCCGCAAGGCCAGGGTCTAGTTTGACCGCTTTCCTCCAACCATTGCATTCTAACTCAGGCCACGTTTCACGGAAGTGGGGCATTGTCATTGTCGATACATCGAGTGGCGCGCATCGATTGAATCGTAACGATGTAAATCAACATCATGCTACTCGATATGGTCGTTATTCCTCTTTCATTAAAGCCGTAGACAAAGTTTAGAGGCCACGTGTCGCTTCAAATCGATTTTAGGAATCGATATTGATAATCTTTATTATAAACTCAAACTGCTTTTAATAGATTTTTAGCAAGCCGCTATTGGTAACGCAGGCATTCTAGGCAAATACTTACTAGTAATAAACAGACATAAAGTTTGTCTGCGTTTTGTAACGGATGCCATTTTGTTTTGCAACAGACGATGCTGTTTTGCAAATGGTATTAGTTGTGCATGTTATTTGCGTATTACATACTAAATATATATTTCTCTCGCATGATTAGCGCATCACAATTTTAGTACTAGTCGTATTTCAACGATTTTATAGTTGTTTTTTGACCGACTTCCCAAAAGAAGGAGGTACTCAATTCGTCTGTATGTTTTTTTATGTGTGTTGCGGCATAACTCCGCCGCTAGTGGACCGATTTTGTTAATTCTTTTTTATCCGGAAGGTAATGCTTGCAGGTTGTTTGATTTTTGAAGTCAAAGACTACGACGTAGTTATAACATTTTTTTTGTATTACCCTTACAATGAAAAATTATCTTAAAAGCCTAGTAAAGATTCAAAATCGTTAAAATTAAATAATGCATGATACCCAGCTTCGTAACATAGTTTACAAACAACAGTCTCTTACTATCAAAGATCATATATAGTTTTTTTTATAAGAAAATCATGTCAAGGCCACGACATAACTCGATGCAAGCCTTCGCAGTTCCTTCACCTCTTGCTAAAGTTCAAAGCATTTGCCAGTCCATTACAAACCTTACGTCCTATGGTATAAGCTATAAGTTAATATGAATATAACTTTGGTATACTTACGAAAAGCATTGCATGTTACCTTCTGTTTTTATAAACAAGTTGTAAATGTTGATGATAATCTTACATGAACTCATCTAAAATTATCATTTTATTATTAACTAAGTTTTTTTTTTTTTTTTTTTTTTTTTTTTTT